TTTGGCTAAATATATTTAAATGCATTTGACAGACATGTTCGAGGTAATAAATAAAAATATAATATAAATATACTTCACCTCCTGACAACCGATGGTTATATCTATATTGGACATATATGTTACATACCACTGACCATATGTGAAACAAAATCCCGCGGGTTTATCCCGGGGGTTAACAGTGCCTGTTACCAAACCCAAACAATTCCCCTTCCCCGAGGGACACTATTTTTTACAAAAGACAACGAATCCCCTCCTGTTCCTGGGGGTTCCCCCTGGGGTGTCCCAAGGGTCGACCTCTGGGGAAGCCGATGATAAGTGCATAAGGTTCGAGTGGAAATGCCCAACCCCCGTGATGTGCTTTACAGGAAAATGGCTGGGCGAGGGGGATGGGCACACTTGGATTTGGCTGATGCATTAAAAGTCATGGGAAAAGAAAAAACTTTTCATATTGCTACTATAAAATGGCTTATTGTGCTTATTCCTGTGCTTATTCCAGACTACTTGTCAAATATTTACTTGCAAGAAATAGAAATTTACTCTGACCACTGGATGAAGAAGACATTAAATAAGTACTGGTCAATAAACAGAAATGTATTTTATTTCATACTATTACAATTTTATTTTTATACTATAAAAATAAAATATAAACATGCAGCCTCTGACATGCAGCATAGAATATGCAAATTCGAGGCAAAATTATTGTTGAATCGGTTTATTTATAGGATTTTATAACAAATAGCAACTATAAAAGTTTATACCTTGTCTTCACATCGCTTTATTCTGTTAGCCAATGCTTTTAAATTTAAAATATTTTAGAATCAGTTCCTTTTCTGGTAACTGCATTTCTAAATGAAATCATCGTGAGTAGTGAGTGCTGAGCAGGCCGCTTTACTATAAACAAATTTTAGGAATTGATAACAATTTTCATGAAAAATATATCGTTGCACATTCGGTCACGGTCGGAAAAATGTTCATAGTATGTTGTACCGTCGCTTGCAACTAACGATGAACAGTCGCTCATAAAAACATTCGCGTGATTAGAATCTTCAATGTTTGTCAAGAACAACAACACTTAATTGTTGTTTCCCATGTGTACAATAATAAGTAAAAAAAAAACTTTGTGTGGTCTGAACGTGTTGGGCTAGAGACCTACTTGAAACCTGTGCAGGCTTTTTAATGAGAATAGAGAATGTTTTATCTGCAACTGTTCACCTTTAGTTGCAACCGACGGTATTTGACAGCATAAAATTGCCTGTGGCTGTGATAACTGATATAAATAAAATACAGTCTGGTTATATTGACTTGAGCGTGTCATGACAAACTCTTTATTGGAAAATTGCTCGGAAAATTGTGAAGAAACAGTCGAATATAGAGGGTCGAATATCATACTTCAACTTGTATAGCTACAGTAACATTGGTACATAGCGTTGTGAAGACAAGCCTTTTCTTACTTTTTGCTTCAGCAGTCTTTTCCATGCTTCGCTACGCTTTCCCAATAATTCTCAGGCGATGTTCTCTTTCCTCGGCAGTCTCCTCGAGCAAACGTTGTCGTCTTCGCTCCCTTCTTTTCGCTAGACGCTGGGCTTTCTTGTCGTTTCATTGCCGCTCTTCATGGCTCCATATCTTTTCAATTGGTATTTGATACCGTAATTGTTTGATAAAAGTTTTAATAAAACTAATTGCTTTTAAAGCTGCCAAATGTTTTTGCAAATGTACAAAAAACTGTAGCGCAAAAAGCAAAATATTTTCATGAAGTATCTGTCAGTTAAAGTTGTCATTCGTCATACAACAACAAATTTTAAATTTGATCAATCGGTGTTCGCTATTCATGACAGTCCGCCATATTTTTGAGATCAGTGAGGATGACCACCCACGCACAGTGACCCACGCTCGCGATATTTGATGAACTTCAGACTTCCCTAATGCCTTCGTTTCCCCGGGTGTAAATAGCCGGGGGGAATTAGTACCCTCGCACGGCGCTTCGCGCCGCCGGCTCGGGGATAATATAATTTAATTCAACGTAATATGCAAATTACGAAGGAAGTAGAATAAATCATGTCTGTTATTTCTGGCCATGATATCGATCAATTCATATTGCATTTTACTCATTAGTTTCATCGGTGACCTATCTTCAAATTTTGATCACGAATTTATTTTGCGGTAAATTTTATAAATTTCAATTTTTAAAAAAATCTTTAGTGTGGAAATTTCGCAATAAAAGTTTCGCTTTTAAAAAAATCACACACTACAGAATTTTTTAAAACTTTCACCACAGTTGCAGAGCATCATTCCCTATTGATATATGAAATAAAAAAGATAGGTCACCGACATCTTTTTGAGATAGCGGCACATTTATGAGTTAAATTGGAAGGCTTTATGCTGTCGTCATGTTGCCATGGGAACATTGACGTTGTCAAAATCTAGTTCGAAATATTCCTTAAGTGACCAATATTGCCACTAAGTCGAAAAGAATTCGCGTTCTGCACGAATATGCCTGTTTTACGGAATTATTGCTTAAACAAGAATAACTGTGGGGAGCCACCTTAATTATCCAAGCGATTTCAATAATATTATGTCTTCTTCGTACTTGAAGTTTGTCTGAATTTATTGTTGTGTAATACTAGACGTGGTATGATATTTGTCATCTTACTCTGAGTGTATATCCACACCAGGTGAGCTTGACGTGGTGTTAATGTCGGTACACGTTATAGACCAGAAGCCAGTCAGCTCCAGTTTCAGACTCGCAGCTCCAGTTTCAGATTGGATCTGAAGCCAGAGGCATGGCGTTCGTGTTCGAATGGCTCTATATAACTCCACTAAGCCTTCACCCATCCTAACAATAATTTTTTTCGTTCTTCTTCAAGAAATGGACTATCATATAAAGCAATCACTGAGTCGCTACTTCTTCTAGATTGCCCTAAACAGCTTGCATAAGTCAAGTCGCCAAACCGTGTCGGGTCAATTAAATCTTGAGCAAGACACGGTTAGTTCCTATCTAAATCGCTGTATCATCGTAAGGAATAAATGTACCGCAATAATAATTTTTTTCGTTCTTCACTGATAATTTCCACGTCACCTAAATTATTCAGCTTGTCTGTAGCGCTTTTAGTTTTCTCTGGAGGGCTCGCATATGTTATGTCACCGAACAGCGACATATTGATGGAGACTGCAAACACGCCGGTACCGCCAACCTCCTACCCAGGGCCTTTGCGCGGCTCAGAGGCTCTGGTACGGGAAGCAAAGGCCCTGGTAAACACTGGTCACGCGTGTCCTAAAATATTGGACATTACGTAATAATTTAGTTTTCAATCCGGGGGGAGCGGAGCCGATTGATTTTATGATGATGATGATAAACTTTATTTAACCACGCTAACATTGTCAGCTAAAGCTGGTTTCCACAATGGGCGTGTGAACAAAAGTAAATTTACAAGAAAAAAAAAGATAAAGGTAGTAAGAAATTACATGCATATATGTGAAAAAGAAAATATACTATATAATATACGTTAATTTACTATTTACATTCATGCTTTAGTAAGAATGGGTAGCGATTTTCCTTTCGAAAATTGATAGCGTTTTGCTTTCTCTAATAATTTCTGGCAAAGAGTTCCATATGACAGCTCCGTCATACATGAAACTCTTTTTTAAACTGTTCGAACGTGGCTTTGGCAACCGTAATGTGGTCGAGCTGTCACGGAGATTATGATTTAATATTTCATTTTTTTTGAAAATGAATAAGTCTTTGAGGCAATTTGGCCCCATATTATGAAGTATCTTAAACATCGTTTTCGCTTTAGTTTTTAATCGTTGTTCTTTTAATGTTTTCCATCCGAATAAATCCAATACAGTTTGCTGATCAACATCGTTCGGTACACTTGCTATGATGCGAGCTGCTCTGTTTTGAAGCTTTTGCAGACGTTTAGATTGGGTTTCGCCAAATACATCCCATACTTCACAACAATAACTGAAATAGGGTTGGATCAAAGCATTGTATACCGATATGAGTGTTTTTATATCAACAAACGTTTTAATTTGTTTGAGAGCATATATCCCAGATGATATTTTACTACATATACTCTCAGTGTTACTTTTCCAAGAAAGATTTTCGTCAACAGTAACTCCTAAAGTCTTGCATTGGAAAACTTGCTTTATTGGTTTATTTAGAATAGTAACTGCTGGCTGGTAATCACTAATTTTTTTAAGCATATGTTTAGTGCCAATTAATTGAAATTCAGTTTTCGCTACGTTTAAGCTCAGTTTATTTGCCATAAGCCACTTTCGAAGTCTTTCTAAATCCGAATTTACTGCAGATTCAATATCATTCATGCAATTTCCGGATGCTGTAATATTTGTGTCGTCTGCAAACATCCGGGGTCTAGTTTCATTTAGACAAGATGGTAGATCGTTAATATATAGCAGAAAGAATAATGGTCCTAATATGGAGCCTTGGGGTACGCCACATTTTACAATATTTTCTTTAGAAGTAGAGCCGTTTATTTCACATTTTTGGGTACGATTGGATAAATATGATTTTAGGAGTTGAAATGCACTGCCCGTAATTCCAAATAGTAATAGCTTTTCCAATAGGATGTCGTGGTTAACAGTGTCGAATGCTTTTTTTAAGTCTATGAATACAACCAAATTAAACAATTTTCGATCCATGTTTAAATACCAATCATTTGTACAGTCAAGTAAGGCTGACGCAGTCGAGTGAAACTTTTGGAAACCAAACTGATGTTCTGAGAGGAGGTTGTTTAGCGACAAATACTCATATAGTTGGTTATATAAAATACGTTCCATAACTTTGCTTATGGCAGGCAAGACAGAGATTGGACGATAATTTCCAGCCAAATTATGCTTGCCATTCTTAAAAAGGGGGATTATTCTTGCAACTTTCCATTCATTTGGAAATGTACATAGAATAATTGATTGGTTAAAAATATAGGTTAATGAATCGGAAATAACTGGGGCTGCTATTTTGACAACCTTGCTAGAAATTTTATCTAAGCCAGTAGCTTTGTTGCCAGCTAGTTGAGATAACAAAAAACAGACATGGTTTGTAGTAACTGGTTTGAATGCAGTAAATTCAGATTCAGCTTTCTTAAGGTAGTCCTTAAAATGACATTCAGTTGTATCAATTTCAGCTGCTAAGTTAGGTCCAATATTTGCAAAGTAGTCATTGAAACCTTTTGCTATGTCTTCAGGGCTTGTTAGTTTTACATTATTTATATTTAATTCATTCACTTTAGTAGGTCTATTTTGCTTACCAATTAAACTATTAATTGTCTTCCAAGCAGCTTTTGGATTTTGGCTCTCAGAAGAAATTTTATTGGTGTAATACTCTTTTTTAGCCAGTCTTAACTGAGTATTTGTTTCATTCCTGGCTCTTTTATAGTTTTCCCAATCGGACTCAAGTTTCGTTACGATTGCTCTTCTTTTCAATTTATCCCTTGTGATTATCATTTGTTTAATATGATTAGTAATCCAAGGTAGTTTTTTAGATTTTATCTTTTTACTTTGAAGAGGGGCATGTTTATCTAGAACCTGTAAAAATAGCTCTTTCCAAATTTGCCACATACTGTTGGGATTGTCTGCAAAAAAGTAGACATTCTCCCATGACTGGATTTTAAGATCATGCAAGAACTTATTTTCATTGAAGTTTTTCATATTCCTAATTTCAATAATATTTTCTTTATCTTTATGGTTTATATTAATCTTCCTAATGGCATAAATGAGACTGTGGTCACTGATTCCAGTATGAATCACACCACATTTAGAAATTTTTTCAGGTTCATTTGTAATAAAGTGATCAATAAGTGTAGATGATGTCTCAGTAATTCGTGTTGCTTCATCAATTAATTGAGTTAATTGATAAATTTCGAAAAGAGACCTTAATTTATTTGTTGGGTGATTGGGATTGGGCTTAAGTAGGTCACAGTTAAGATCACCTAGGATAAGGATTTCTTTATTTTCATTATCAATAGTTTGCAATAAATTTTCAAAACTGGTAAAAAAATCATCTGATGCATCAGGTGGTCTATAAACTGAGACAACCACAAATGGTCGGCTATATGGCTTGGATATTTCAAGGCATATAGCTTCTAGATCTGGTGGTATTAGGTCATGTCTAGTTTGATAATTTATGGAGTTTCGAAGGTATATACAAACACCCCCACCATTTCGATTTCTATCTTTTCTTATAACATCATACCCATCTATATTTATCATATTATCAGTTATTGTTGAGTCAAGTCTGGTTTCGCTAAAGGAAAATATGTCAAATAAATTGTTTGACATAGTGAAATTTATTTTATCAAATCGTTTTGGCAAACTGACTATGTTTAGAAATGCCATTTTAAATCCACGCTGCTTTGGCAGACAATTAATTTTATTGGACAAATCGCTACTCATGCTTGTTTTGTGAAGTGGAAAACTATCATCTACTGTTGAAACACTCTGGCAATGTTGGCCAGGTATGATAAACATGCTGTCCAGTTCTTTTGGCGACCCATTGATCGCCTGCTTTGACGAAAAGAATGACTATCTGGAGTATAGCTCATTCCAGATCTCACTGATCGTAGGTAGGAACATAGTGATTTTCCAAGGGCTTTATCACCATTATAGTTAAGGTGAAGATTTGATCTATTTAGGTAAGATTTATCAATGTTATCATTATCGATGAATGTTATTTTATGCTTCTTGCACAAATCATGCACTAAATTATTAAAGTGAGCTACCCGTGAATTAGGTACTTTATTGTCATACCTCTTTACCACACTTGATATGGCAACATTATGTGCGTGTGTCTTTGCTTCTACAATGATCTCTTCCATTTCTTTAACTGACGTATTCACATCATCAGACACTAAGTCATTAGTTCCCACATGAACAATAATGCTGTGCAACTTTGATGTTCTTCCTTCCCCACAATCCTTTTTCAGATTCTTGTGTACTTCTTTGATCCTTGCACCTCGATACGACTTGCATATAGTCTTTGCTTTCGCTGCATAGGATAGTTTTTCTTGGCAAATGTGTTTGACCATGGAGTCACCAATTAGGAGTACTTTTGGTGGGTTCAAAATTTTCTTTGTAGGATTGGGATTGTCAACATTACTTTCATTCTTGTTTGATTGTTGATCGATAGTTGATTGAGAACGAGAACTGATGTTCTCAGGTGGACAATTGAAGTTGTCATTTTCCACAGACGTTTCGGTTAGATGACTTAGATCATCATTGGACGATTCATTTGTAGTATGTTTGTCTACAAGGCTTTCAAAGCTATTTGAGACCACTGCAGCATAACTTTTCGGTGTTGATGTTACAGATGTTGACTTGGTCGTACTAGATGCTTTGTTTTTTTTTACCTCAATCCATTCATTTTGTTTCATTTCTAGAATAATTTTCATTTGATTATTCTTGCTGGTAATTTGTTCGATCACTGTTTTAAGTGATTCAATTTCGTCCGCCATTTTGTAATTCAATGTTGACATATTTTTCATGGCGTCTTTCGTTTTAGATAAGCTTTTCTCGGTTTCGTATTCACTTTCACGTTGATTTTTTTTCAATTCTTTGATAATAGTTTTTATTTCAGTTATTTCCTTCTTCATATGCAAGATTTCTGTATCTTTTGAGTGACATTTATCACATGTTTCATGATGCTCAGATTTTCCGGTCGCTTCGGTTGATGTCATGGTGGCCACGTGTTCGTCGGTACAAACAGATTTTTCAGTGGTTTTCATCGATGTTTTCTCTTTCAGGATATTCGAAATACACGAATTTTCGTCTTTCACAACTAGTAGCTTTTTCTTGCTCGGTCCCGACCATTTAAGCTTGAGGTTTTTGTCGGAATATGATTTAGCATCACCTCCCGGCGATGTCCATTTTCCAGGGAGATGTAAAACTTCCTTGGAAAAGCGTTTTAATTCTTCGAAATCGCCAACCCAAAGTAACTGACCGTCATCCTTCTTTATTAATCTATCCTCTATGCCTAAGGATTTAGACTTTGTGTAATTCAACGTTTCAGAATTACTAGAAACTTGATCAGCCGCCTGAACAGACGTCTGATCAGTCGCCATGACACCTAAAATGACACCTTATCAAACATGGCAGCGCGAAGGTGCGACGTTTTCGACTTTTTATATTATTATGATAAATAAAACTTTCCTAGCGAGATTTAAGAGTGGGTATATATTATCTATGCATTCTACGAGCTTTCTTTCAACAAATTGTGGAATAGCTAACGGTAATACTTATCAAGGATCGAAGGACGAAGATCAAACTGAGAGAAAACTAGTCGAGTGATCTGTTTTTAAACGGTCTATTTTTTATCCAATGCACCTGCTTGTGTGCGACGTTTTATAAAGAATTAAATAAACATTGTTGATTATAAGTTATTTTTATGTATTGACCAAAGAATATCACTTGGGATTTTATTGTACTTTTATGGAAGGATACATCAGAGGGGTCATCTATGGAAACGAAGTTCTTCATGGTGTATTAATTAAACATGTAGTTATCAAAGCAGAATATTTTGAAACAATTAACTGGTCGAGTGACAAGTTGGTTTCCGTATGTATGTAGTTTAAAATACAGTTGTGAATGAAATTATACACAATATCTTGAAACCTTTGTGTGTGTGAGTTAATTTCATATTTATTTTTTTGGGATGTATCATCTATATTTCTGTTTGTCTGGAAGGGGGTGGGGGTGGGGGGGGGGTACCAATCCTGAATCATGAGAAATAATATACAGTCATCTTGAAACAACAAATTTACTACGAATCTTATATCAGTGATATGTGACTTAGGAGTCTTCAAGGCAAATAACAGTCTGTTTACTGTGTGTGCGTTCACCTATTTGTTTACATTTGCAGTTACTGTACATCGGTTCATGATTTATGAAATTTGAACCAAAGCTGTAACATAATATTAGTCACGGCACAAGTCACTAACAATTTTAGGGTAAATATTTTTCGGAAATACTTCATTTGTCAGTTGCATCTTATAGTATATACTGTAATAATATCTTGAAAAAAAGCTGTAATTGTACCCTGTCTAATAGCTTTGGTTCAATACAATCCACGTTTACTGCGACGAAAAATATGTTGCTGTCACGTGACCAAATTTGCATTTTTTCGGACAACTTTCGCACTCCGCTATTCAAAGTGTATACACGTGCGCGATATAAACAAGCGAAAATATCGCAAAATAAGGACGATTTGAAAGTGTTTTTTTTTTATTTGTGGGTATATTTTAACTCCTGTAAGTGTAATATGTAGCGAAGAGAAAAATTTCCCGTTGTGTACTTGTGTGGGTACGAAAATATAGGGATATATTTCGCTCGACGGCCTCGATTATACTATCCATGATTATACTATAAGCGATTCACAAATTATGGTAAAGAGATGTGCTTGGGGAATATGCTAAAGCGATTCGAGGTATCCAGCACGCTTAAAAAACATTGGACTTCAGTATCTTTCTACAGTTTCCCAAGTGAGAAGAAATCTAAGGAAAGAAGGTAAATTTGGATAAATGCATGTTGTCAGTCGAGGCGACAAGTTCGTCTGTCGGAAAGACAGCTATATATGCGGTTTTCATTTTATTGGCGAAAATGGACCCACAGCGGATTACCCTGATCCGATACCAGCTACAGCTGATAGGAATAAAGTAAGTTATATTTCATAATCAATATATTTGCTTTTCTACTACTACAATGACCTGGCATGGACCAATGTTACACTCTCGCGATTATGCAGTACATCCTCCTGCGAATACAAACAGGCTGCGATGTGCTTGCAGCCTCTATAATCTTCGAATGATTTATATGAGGCAAGTCCCTGTTTATCATACTCAGGTGAGCTGTATATTAAATAGTTAAAAATATACAAACTGAAGGGAAGGGTGGCGAATATATAAAGTCGTTCACGACTGGATATGACAATGTCTGACGTATCACCATATCATGAATAATAAATGTTTCTCTTGCGTTCTTGAGATCCAAATTTCCATATTCATGATTTGGGTCAATCGGCAACATAATTTTCTCCACTGCTTGAGCAATTTGAAGTAAAGCAGGTTTTAAATAGCCGTTTGCAGTAACGCTACGCATTTTCAAATGCTTTTTTAGTTCGGCAACAGTCATGTCCGAAACACGCTCCGTATCCATACAACTAGACATTTTTCTCTTCGGTATATTACACTTAAAGGAGTTAAAATATACCCACAAATACAAAAATAAACTTTCAAATCATCCTTATTTTGCGATATTTTCGCTTGTTTATATCGCGCACGTGTATACACTTTGAATAGCGATCGAAGTGCGAAAGTTGTCCGAAAAAATGCAAATTTGGTCACGTGACAGCAGCATATTTTTCATCGCAGTAAACGTGGATTAGCAACTGGGCTGTCTTAGAATTCATGCTACAACCCCAAGAAAACATGCCTTTTATCAGCAGATCAATTAAATTCTCTGCTTCAACCAGATTAACCACACAAATGTTATTGTCACCATTGTGACTACCGACACTTTTTACAAATAATACACTGATAGTTGAGCATCGAGACTCTGACTGACATATACTTTGTTTTCAAATATCTTTGGCTTTGGTTAAAAACCAACAATTATACATTCTTAAACCTTTTAAACACTTCAGCCTACATAATTTCCATAATGATGGTCAATTATTCCACTTACTAAGAATACTATAATTACTTCTTTACCATAAAAATTCTTTTGGGTTTAATTGAAGTATTATTATTCACAGCTGGTCTAAAAAATTGGGTGTTTTGATGCATCATACTTTTGTCAGTAAACTTAAAAACTTATTTAGTCCTATCCAGAGTTTTATTTGTATTGAGGAGGTAGGGCTTAGAGAGACACAGAGGCTTAATGAATTTACATCCTGAAACCAAAAATCACCATATTATGCATGAATTATATATCACTTTCACTTGTCACAGAGTGAACATACCAAATTCAAACACCATTCACACTGTTTCTAGATGAAATAATCAACCGATTTTTGGGCAAACAATATAATTCATGAGGGGAAAAAATAAATATTTGTATGTGTGCACATAGTTTCAAGATCAGCTAACGGGATTGAAACCAGCTTTCCCGTTATGCATGGAGCTGACGAGAACAGTTAGTTTGAACACAAAATGGCATGGGACTTAATTCATCTAGGTGGAAATATATTGCCTTCTCACCAGCACAATTGATCAAGTCATACACATTCATTACTGCCAATCTCTTTATTATTTTATTATTTTTTTTGTTTAAAATGCTTTGCCATTACAAACAATACGAATTTACGATACTGACAATACATACACTAATACATGGCTGGGTTATCATCACAGCTCCGTAGGATAATATCCACGGGAGCCAATTACGATAAGCCCTGATATACTTCTAAGTTACATCACTGGTTACATTAGTTAAAAACAGCACGGTTTTTTGAGAACGTGTGCTAGTTCTCTGTTCACGTGACATTTCAGGCAGTTCGACTTTAAAGTTACAGCATTGTCGGGATCGTAGACATCTCTAAGTAGCCCGTTATATTTCCTCGTGAGACTACGTTTAAAAGTAGCAGCACTTTGAGACAAGTCCCTTTCAACTGGTGTTAAACTGTTCCATATTCCTTGTGCGGACAGAAAAACTGTTCTGGAATGATATTGTTTTAGCACGAGGTATCTCGACGAGAACACCTGACTGAGGGTTATTATGACGCGAAATACGAATTTGTTGTTTAATTTGGACCAAGCCATTATTGTCGAGAAAAATTTCTCCCTTTAATGTACGAAAGTAAAAAACCAAGTCAAGAATTTCTAGCCAGTAAGTAAGTGGTAAAAGGCCGAGCTTTAACAGCCGTTTTTGGTATGAAACCTTTGTGCGAAACGGTAGTTTCAGTAAAAATTTTGTAGCACGCCTTTGTACCCTTTCCATCATGTTTATGTATTTGATTTTCTGAGGAGCCCACAATTGGGATCTGTACGAAAACAGGGATCTTACCAGACTGGTGTAAAGAGTGCGACGCGCGTTTAAGCTACCAATTTCCGCAGAACAACGGCGAATGTACCCAAGTGTACGGTTTGCCTTAGAGCATACAGTAGCCACGTGACTTGACCATTCCATAGAGCTGGTTGTCAGGATTCCGAGATCCTTCTGTTCGTTGACTTTTCGTAGCTCGGATCCATTAAGTGAATATGATTGAATAATTGGATGGTGCTTTCTGGTGAATGACACTATGGCACACTTTGTCTCGTTAAAGTCCATGTTCCATGACTTAGACCAAGATGACAGATTGTCTAAGTCAGATTGTAAAAGGAGCGAGTCGTTTAACGATTTTATGACTTTGAAACATTTACTATCATCAGAATACAACGCCATCCCAGAGTCCCGATGGACCACTTCAACAATATCATTGATGTAAATCAGAAATAGTATGGGACCCAATACAGAACCCTGGGGTACTCCAGATAGGACAGGTAAGGGCATTGAGGTAGCCCCTAATACTGTGGTCTGCTGGGAACGATTCGAGAGATAGTCCTTTAACCATTCATGTAGTTTACCAGTTATACCGAATAGTTTAAGCTTGAATATAAGTTTATGATGGTTCACAAAGTCGAAGGCCTTGGAAAAATCTAGGAATACCATGTCAGTTTGTATGCCGGCATCCATAGCTTCTTGAATTTTATGATAAACTGAGAGTAGTTGAGACGTTGTTGATCTACCTTTGAGGAAGCCGAATTGAAGGTTGGACAGATTACTGGCTATGTGATCAATGATCTTGTTGAGAATACACCTTTTAAGCAACTTCGACACCAGGGAAAGCAGGGAAATAGCCCTATAATTTTCCACTTTTTCAGCGGGGGCTTTCTTTAATAAAGGCACGATGTTAGCTAGTTTCCATTCCGTTGGCAGAGTGCCCGATTGCAAGGATAAATTAAATAAATCTGTTAGAGATGGGGAAATTTGTTCAGCACACTCCACTAAAATCTTTGCTGGAATCTTATCCGGCCCTTGAGCTTTACTGCTGTCTATGGTCTTTATTGCTGCTAAAACGTCTACAGAATCCAGAGATATCTGTGACAGGGATGGAATTGGGCTGGAGGGGTGATAATGTTGGTCGTTGGAGTGAACCTGTGGATTACCAACTTCAGGAGTTGAGTAGGACGAAAAGAAAAACCGATTAAACGTATCAGCAACTAGGTTTGGACCCTCGGTGAATTTACGACCACCTGCTCCGTCAGCGATAGAAACTTTCTCTGGGACGGTGTGTTTCTTTGTTTTCTGGCTAAAGGTAGTCCAAAACCTTTTCGGGTTCGAGTATAAAGACTCAACCAACGAAGTATAATATTCTTTACGCTTTCGAGAAATGAGCTTTTTGATACGGGATCTTAGTTCTTTAAATCTCTCCCAGTGAATCGATAGTTGCGTAGATTTAGCCTTGATTCTTGCACTAGCTTTTTTCCTTACCAAGTGAATAATTTCGCCTGATATCCAAGGTGGAGAACTTTTACTCTTTAATTGAATTTTAGGGATATATTGGTCGATCATGGATTGCAAAGATGATTTCCAATTATACCAAACATTATTAATGTCAACGATTTCATTTAATTGTACATCAGATGTGAGAGACTTGACATACTCTCTGAGAGTGGAAAAATTTCCTTTCCTATAATTATAAACCGATCTAGGTTTCTTGACTATACTCCGAATAGTCGTGCGCATAGTGAATTCCATAAAGAGATGGTCAGTATAAATAAGTGGGTCACCAACAAGCAAATTAGATATTTTCTCCGGGGAATCTGCAAATAACAGGTCCAGAATGTTATTGCCGCGAGTAGGTTGATTATTTACTTGGGTAAGGAAATAGTCGTCCACTAGTGATTTGAACAAATGTGAGCTGCTATCGTCCCCGGTAATATAAATGCCATCAAAGTTGTTATTTGAATATATTTTGTCAAGGAAGTCGTCGAAAATCTCCAACCAGCGGCTGTCGGATAACGGTGGACGATAGCATACGGCAATAAAAGTACCTTTACCGTTCGGTTTAGTCATTATGTTTACCGCGACGATCTCAAGTTCGGCCGATTGGTTTTCACAAATGCGTTGAACATTTAGTTCAGATTTAACCGCGATCAAAACACCGCCGCCCGTTCCGCACTGACGATCGCGTCTGAAAATATTATATCCAACTGGCAGTAACTCTCTGTTAGATATTCCCTCGTTCAGCCAGGTTTCGGTTACACAAACTATGTCGTAGCTTTCGCTGTACACTTGGTCTTGAAATAGCGTTAAATTTGACACATACCTCTGGTTGTCGTCTATATGAGTACTCTTTAAACTGCGGGCGTTAAAGACAGCGACTCGGCGGTTGTTTGAAAAGGACATTGAAGCAGGGCCAGGATTTAGAGATATATCATTGCATTGTAGAATAATGTTTATAATAACCTCATTCCGAGCAAGATGAATAAAGCGGATGAACCTTGCCCTTTCCTCAGCTCTATCAATAGGCTTTCCCGATCTTGATGCGACTCTGGATCTTGGTGCGAGTGAATTGTTTATCGGTAGAATTTGAAGTTTGTTCGCTTCATTTGAAGCAGCAAGTACAGCAGAAAGGTCTCCGGAATAAAACTCTTCAGTTGTTTGGTGTTTACGATCGAAAACGGTGAGCAGAAAGGCGACAAAAACAATATATCTGCAGAGCGTTTTAAACACCGCCATCTTGAAATGTGAAAATCTTGAAATCGTGTTTGTAGCGGTAATATTCCAAACGGAGTCATCATCCAAACGGAGTCATCAGCGTCATCTCATTACAAATACAACATATTTTCATTATCAGCAGTATCATTACAACTTGTGCATCACCAATATCATCACAACTTGTATTTCAGTACCATCATCATCATTATTATCACCATTCTAATTTTATTAGTCAATCAGAATGAATTAAAAATTTCCTATTTTACACCACTCATATATTACTTAATTAATTGCCCAAGGTCAGGGCCATTTCACATCACTCCAGGATCTGAATACCCTGCAATCACCTTTTCAATATAATACTAAAAGAGAAACAAACAACAAATGTCTTACCGGCACACTGGAATATCATAATTGCCATAAAATAACTCTCATTTGAAACCACATTCTGCTGTAACAGCACAACTGCTCAAGGTTGCAAGGTAAATAATAGGGATGTAGTAAGGCCAGTATTACTGGTAATTGTCTTTTCACATTTTCCTCACAACCAAAGTCCAATTATATGGAGCAAAAGTTAGAATATCCAGCCACTTTATATTACTCACTTAATCTTACACTTGACAAGTAAAATTGTCTGGTGTTGGACAGGGAAAAATAACAAAGTATGCCATATTTGATTATCCCATATTCCCATTACTGTAGTGTGACCACAAAAGACTCTCGCTAATTGGATGGGTAAAATTGGGGGCTATGGAGATTTAATGGCAAGAAGTGGGGGAAACATTTTCTCCAGTAAAATTTATGGGGGCCATTGGAATTTTATGGGGGGGGGGCATTGGAATCATCAGCCGGAGTATTGAGGTGATAAAGAAAAGAATACCTGACTGTAAAATTAATGTAATCTAACTTTCTTGTCACACAAAGTTAGGTAACATTGGCATTTTCACACTTTTCTATTATTATGGTACTATTCTGTTAAGTATTTATTGGATGAGTCAGAGACCAATGGATTGGTATGAGGGCAGTTAATTTGTAATTTTTGCATGTATTCATTTCTAACCTTTTGACAACTGTAATGGTCAGCCAGTTAAATAAGTATTTTACTGAGGGTACTGCCTAACGATTTTACATGTCAAAGAGAACTCCAGTTATGAAAGATTGAATATTTTCTGAGCAAGCTGGAACAGAAAAATTTGATTTTAGTGAACTAAGTGAAGGATGCAGATAACCAAAAAATATATCAGGCATGAAGGAGGGTTTATATCCAAAAGCGAAAGATGGAGGAGTAATTAAACGAAGAAAACTAATTATACAAACCGACAGCCACGAATCTGCTGGAATTTAGGATATATAAACTGATAAATATTAAAAGATATGAGAATATAATTTTATATATGGATCATAAAATCGTTTACCTCGAATATACTGCATTGCCATTCTTTATAGCATAATTCAAAATCCATGTGACTTCAAAGTTTATAATTTCCATCAAAATAAAAACAACCCTAAAATCTGCTGTCTGTTGTTTTAAAATATGAATTTTCAAACAATTGTTATACATTCATATTTGAAAAATCAAAGGCAAAATCATTTGTATTTGAAACTTTTATAGTTCGTGCATTGCAATGTTCAGCTGTTCATCCCCCCGAGATAACATGACCTAAATAAGGCCAGGTTACAAAAATGTCCAATATTTTTGGACACACGTGACCAGTGTTTACCAGGGCCTTTGCTTCCCGCACAAGAGCCTCTGAGCCGCGCAAAGGCCCTGGGTACGAGGTTGGCGTACCGCTTAGCGATTTAAAACGCTCGTTCTCCGCCACAAGTTACTTTATCGTCATAATATTTTTTTTCATTCTTTATCCATAACATTCGCATCATACGAGATTATTTTAAGCTTTAATATACCGATTTAAACTTTGACTGAACAGCTTGCACAAGACGAGTCGTCGAACTGCCACATATGACACTAACCGCAGGCCAGTCGACAAGTCAGCATACTAAAAACGTTCTATCTCAGTCTAAAATTTACATATCCTTTAAATACTATTTTTCCTTCTTCCTAGATAAATTACACATTATATAAAAAATCAGCTTAATTGTCTTCAGCGCTTTTGGTTTTCTCTGGAGGGCTCGCATAAGTTATGTCATCGCACAGCGACATATTGATGGAGACGGCAAACACGCGTGCCGCTTAGCGATTCAAAACGCTCATTCTCCGCCACAAGTTTCTTTATCGTCATAATGGGGTTTTTTTCATTCTTTACCCATAATATTCGCATCATATGAGATGATTTTTAAGCTTATACCGATTTAAACTTTGACCGAACAGCTTGCACAAGACGAGTCGCACCGCCACATATTGACACTTACCGCTGGTCAGTTGACAAGTCAGCATACTAGAAACGCTCTATCTCAGCCAAAAATATCCTTTAAATATTATTATTTCTTCCCGGATAAATTACACATTATTTCAAAAAATCGGCTTGTCTCTAGCGCTTTTAGTTTTCTCTGGAGGGCTCGCATAAGTTAGGTATGCCAATGTAATGGACCAACCCCCCGTAAGCGGGATTTCCCCTTTGTTTACTACGGCTCGAACTATGTAATTGATACATATAAATTTATTTTATAATATTACTTAATTGCAAATTAAGAATTGGTATAATATTTTATAGTTGGGTTCCAATGGGTGTTTGTATATTCTGAGTAATGACTAATGGATTTTCGTATACTTACATTAGAAAAATAAACCATGAAAACATTGACAGTGGTTCTACTCACTCGCTGCCGTGCTGCCGTGAATATTAGGGAACTTTAGATTTGCTACGGCTACGAAATCTCGTACGACTACGAGATTTTTTTCATTAAAATATCAGCTACTAGAACCTTATAATAGTGCGTGGTTTGGCCTAACTGTTGCTATAAAGATCGGGTATGCAAAAGAAAGGACGATAAAAAGTCGCTAGTAGCAGATATTTAACGGAAAAAATCTCGTAGTCGTACCAGATTTCGTAGCCGTTGCGAATCTAAAGTTCCCTAATTACTAGAAAATACATGCATGCAGAAACCCTCGCCTTGCTGACAAAACCATTGTATTTTCCGAACATGAAGTATCTAAAGTAGTTGTCATGGTAACACGATAATTTTTTAAGAATACGGCTTACAAATGGTCTAAAAATAATAGTATAAAAAAAAATAAAAGTATAAAATGAACAGATATATGTTAGGTATGTTATTATACGTAATATAAGCTTCAATTTAAGGTAAAATTCAACCACAAACGCTTCGCAAAACGTTTTAAAGTGTTCTTTATAAAACTAAACAGCCTTTAATTAAATGGCTTTATCGATAAACTAGCTTTGAGTTTGCAATAAAATGATTTCAAATTCTCGCTTGCAAATAACTTTGCTTTCTTTTTTTATTTAGAAAAATCAATATAATCAAAAAGGGAATTAATATTAAAGATTGTACACTGAAATTATATGCTGTCTTGTTTAGTTGTTTCATATACGCCAAGGCCGTCGGGTTTTAAATCCATTATAAAATCAATATTTAAAACAAACTTACCTTCGTTATCGTCGGCTCCCTTCTTTTAGCCGATTCTTTCGCCATTTCTTTCTTGAAATCTACAAAATCTTGCAAAAATGCGAGCAAAAATGAAATATATTTGTAAGAAATTTATCAATCATCAAATCAAGAAATGTTTACTATTTCGCCACATATTTCGCTGTCGTCATGCAGTAGTTATAATGTAAACTTTAAATTGGACCAATCAGTGTCCGCTATTCATGACAGTCCGCCATATTTTTGAGATCAGTGAGGATGACCACCCATCGTTGGTCACCCACGCCCGCGATAATTGCTGAACTTTAGACTTCCCTAAAACAGGGTGGACTTCCGTCTAAGCATGCGCGAGAAACGTAAGCGTGGAATGCACGTGAGCGTGGGTTAATCGCGTGACTGAATTATAAAAACAAGCATCAAATTTGCCAAAACTACTCGTATTATGAAGTCGTTTTCTTGTTTCTTTAGTGTTTCTACGCTCACAATTTTAGGCATTTCCAACTTAGAAGTGTTTGCTTAGGAATAAGAACGTGAAAGTAGAAATAAAAACTTTGTTGCAGCAGTTTAATTTCGCAGTGCAAATATACCTGTTTTTAATATGTATATCCTTTTCGAAGTGAGATATACAAGTGCAAATTGACCTTCTCTAAAAATAAGCTTGAATTTTTGTGGTGATATAGGCTCATTTCTTTGCAAACAGTGATTTAGTACTCGGTAGTGTAGTCCTTGTTTATGAACAAGAGTCTAAAATGAATTCAACATCCGTCAACAAAAAGGAGACGCGCTTATTACTACTCTGTAGAGGATAGACAATTAATTTAATTCACTAGGAACTCGTTCTACAATATAAACTAGAAATCGGCCAACAAATTGCCACGAAATACTACAATAAAAATAGGGCCTCTGAACTACCAATTTCACCGAACGGTCAAGTTTCTCTGCAAAGATCGCCCCTTTGCCCAATTTTCCTCGAGTAGATCATCGTGTTTTTAAGTCAAGGATTATATATACTTTAACATAAAAGAATAAAAAAGTGGTGATAAAGGGTAGATTTTGAATAAAATACGAATATCTGTATACAAGATCTGAGCGTTATTTTGAAGCACTTGATACTTTCTCCAACAACATATGGCGCTTATTTTTTTACAAAACTAAAAATATTCACACATTAAAGATATGAAAATGTAGCTTGCATTACAAAGAAATGTTGGCTTACCTAAGTTATACCTTACACGTCGATTAAAGTCAAGTAAAGCCCTTCCAAAGACGCGTGCCACATTAAACTACAGGTCACATGGCGGTAGAGAACTCGACGAAGTATTCATGATATTTCATAGCCAGTTTAATAAACGCCACTGTGTACTATTCCTGTGAATTATGATGCCCAACCCACCAGGTAACACAATTTACCACTTTGTTCGGCTGTTCCAAGTACTCTTTTAAGATACAAGGTCCGA